GTTGTCTTTGACATTCCCGAAGTTGCATTTATTTTTGAAAAAAAATACTTCTGTACATTTTGTAATGTGCCTTCTTGGAGTAACAACCTGTCACTCATCTTCTATTTAAAGAATGCATTTTCTCCTTGAAACCATGTTATTAAAACTGGCTATGATCCAAATATGTCATTAAGAAAATCTCTAGTGACTTGATAGGTTCCGTAAAGACCTTTACCCTCACTCTTAAAGCTTTTTGGAGCACAGGTTAAACTTAGATTTTCTAAAAAGGACTTTTATACAATTAAGCAGCTAAAATAATGTTTGTATCATTACAATTTTGTTACAGAGTGTACTATTGCATTGATATTTTATATTGCGTTTTTATTATTCTGTACTCCACCTGGAGCAAAGTTCCCCAACATTTCTGAGTCTGCGGACCGGCAGGTGGGGGAGGGAGAGGGGATGGTTCCATGTAAGCAGTGCAGCTCCATTTGCGTGAATGGCGTGCATGCATGCCAACCACTAACTTAAATTGGGTGCCTGCACTCTTGCCCACTGCTTGGGCAAATGAGGATGTGCCTGTGCGCTTACTGGCTGTATCCGTGGCCCGGTTGCAAGCCCCTCACAGCCCACCTGTGGGCCGCAGCCCACAGGTTGGAGACCCCTGATAGAGAGTTGTGGACTAATGTTGTTATATTCTTGGAGTTAAGTAGCCAATTAATTTCAAATAACAATAATAGGTACCTTGGGAGCAATCGCAAAACAATTGGAGCACTATGTAAACACTATTGGCATTGACAAAATCACCATCAATCAATTGCAAAAGGCAGCTTTACTTGGAACAGCTTCCATCCCGCAATGATATCTGTAAACCATCAAAGTCTTGGAAAAGATTTGATTAGGCACACAAAAAATCCAAATCCAGTCTGAACACCTGGGTGACTGCATGACTAACCATAATAATAAGCCTGAAGGAAAGGTAAATAAAGTTAAAATCTGGCAATGTCTTACAAATGGAACATTTGAAAAAGTAAGTGAAGGCTTGATTTTGGTTGCTCAAGAGCAAAGCTATCCAAAGTAACACAATCAAGGCCCAAATTAAAAATATATATATCATGAAATGATACAAAGGATAGATTGTGCGAAGAAGCAGAAGAAATAGCCGATCATATACTTAGCTCAGGCACGAAGATTACGCAAACTACAAACAATGACATAACACTGTCATCAAAATGATTCACTAAACAACTATGAAAAAATATCATTTGCTAGTAATGATAAATTGGTGGGAAGTCTTGGTGCATAATTCAAAAGATTTAACTGCGGTTGAAAAGAAGAAAGTGTGGACAATTAATGTGGCAATATCAGGAGATAGTAAAAAACAAAAAAGGAGTCCCTACGGATTTTGCTTTGCTAGTCATTGCCGACTATAGGGGTGGTGTTCATCTCTGTTTCAAAGCCAGTGCTGTCCGAATACATTTCCATGGTCAGGTGACCAGCATGATATCACGGAGTGCTGTTACCTTCCCACCAAAGTGTTACCTTTTTTATTTATTCGCATTTACATGTTTTCAAACTGCTAGGTTGACAGGTGCTGGGATGAGGACAAGAGCTCACCCAATCACATGACACTCGGGTCTCAAACCTGGGATGCCATCTTTCCAGCCGAAAAGCTCAGCATCTGAACCTCTGAGCCATCATGCCGCCCCCATCAGGGGATAGAACAATATTTTTAATTTATTTATTTTTATGAAATTTATATGCTCCCCATCTCACTATCCAAACAACTCTGGAAGGAACAGAAGACAAAGAATTGGAGAAGATCATGAAGTATCAAGATCTGAAAATCTAAAATTTATGGCATAAATCGGCAATGATGGTGCCAGTGGTTATCAGCACACTGGAAGCCATACCCAAAAGTCTTGGTTGACATTTGGAAAATCTGCATATTGACAAAATTTCCATACAAAAGGCCACACTGCTTGTGAGGGCCTGCGCCTGGCGTATGAATCTATTAACCTATACATAAATTATTAAGGGTTTTTTCAAATAAGTCACGAAGCCGCTGAAGTTAAAACTATTCTATATTATTCATTCTATTCGTGCCTTGATAAATGTTGTTAGGATTAGCTGTTAAGATTAGATAAACACAGCTGCTCACCAATGGAGACCACAAGCTTGAAGTGTTGGTTAAGATAACGAGATACGATCTTGCAAACCTAGAGCTGAAGGATTGTGGTCTTGCTATTTTGCTTAGAAACTTTGCAAGCGGGCCCGTTACTAGGATACAGCAAGGTAATAAGACATTTAGCTTAAACTGCAATTAATGACATCCGGGCATTCACCGATACATTACAATATTCTAGGTTTTGGGAAGAACTTGATGAAAAAGAAGGCCAGCACCAGCTGCCAAAAATTGATTTCACCCTTTGGTGCATAATAAAAATAATAATGCCTATCCCAGGTCCTTGGGAAGGACTCAAAAGGTGGACAAAAATGCCAAATCCGGTCTGAACTTCTAGTTAATTGTGCGACGAACAGTAATAATTTTTAAAAAAAATCAAATGAACAATTAACATATTATTGAAAAGAATATATATAATATGTTGGCCTCAAGGAAGAATATGAATTTTATAAGACAAGATTAACAAAACAATCATTCACTGATATCCATTCAGCATTGTTACTTTTAAAGAAGCACACAGGCAAGCTGTAATTATGGATAAGCAATTGCTCCTCTATATCTGAAGCATTTAAAGCACTGGTCAACTAAAAGAATAAAACACATTCAATCCTAAAGCTTTGGCAGATTTGACCATCACAATGAAAGAGTCCAAATAACCTCCAAATATAACCTTTGTATCCCCTTCCTTGAATGCTGACAGACCTGGCTGTTGAGAATTACTAAAAATAAACAGCTTGCCTAGCACACAATAATGCCATTAAACAGACAGTGCCAACTCCTTTCCATATTCTGCTTTTCTCCTAAGAATAGTAGGGCAAGTCACAGAAGAACCCATTAAATCAGAAAACAAGAGCCAAGAACTTGTTTGCTCTAATAATGAGGTTTGGGATTTCAGTCAAAAAGGGAATTAAGGTACAGAACTTAACCTCCGGGGGGGGGGGGGAGTAGATAAGTAAAGGCATTCATTATAATGCATAGCATGATCTCCATTGTATGTCTTTATAGATTATTATTTTCTCTTCAATAAAGTGACATAAAAGTAGCCAAAGAATAGGCAAGATTAAATCTGAGATTCAGGACGAATAAAAGAAATACTACACATAGTTAGCTGTGGAATTTGCTGCCAGCAGATGTGCTGATGGTCATAAATTTAAACGGTTTTAAAAGAGAACTAGATAAATCCAAGAGGCTAGAGTAGACAGTTTAATGACAGGATGTGATGTCCCAATTCCTAGTAATTATGCTGTCAATGCCAGCCACCACTAAGCAAGAGAGCTATCACTTTCCTCTTTGTATTTGTAACATTCCTCAAAACATATAGTTGCTCTGTATGTAACCTGAAATGTCTTTTGTGGGCCAGGTCAGAGGTCTGATCCAGCTGAATTCTCATAATCTTATCAATTAGAGGCATTCTCAATGGCCCGCTTTAAACTTGATTTAAAGGAGAAACAGCAAGAAACTTAAGCAAAGATTGAAGAATTTACTTCCAATTTACCAGAAGTTCTCATTTTGTCCAAACTGGGTTAAGTTCTACTTCAGCCTTCACACGTTAAAATAATTAATGAAACCTGGCTTATGTGACCCATTAATTTACATACACTGAAAAATGAGTTCATTTAAAGCAAGTAATTAATAGTTTCTTGTCCATCTCTTTTCCTTCTCCAATTTATTGTCTGTAGATTTAAAAGATTATTTGAAACATGAAAAATATATGGAAACATTTATGTATAGGGAAAAGTGCAAGCAGCATACAGATTACTTGACTATAATTTTAGATACCGTAACTTTTCTAACCAAAACATATCTTAATTGCATTTGCACTTAATATCCATATATTCAATCAGTATCCTGTTTTGTTTTTTAATTTTAATTTCTCATCAGTGTTCAAAATGTCTCTACTGTTTATAATTTCAAAGTAAGTTATATTTGGGTAACTAAAAGCTTCCCTTATTCAAACTTCTTAGCGTTTTCCTGTTTCCCTTCTTATACCAAAATCTAATATTCTAGTTACAAATCTTATCTTTCTAGTTATTGAGGGAAGTCAGAGCCCCAGAGAAGGAAATATTAAAAGGGCAGAAAAATATATTTCCTCAAAAGGATTTTTAAAAGCAGAAACCAACCCTGCCCCCAAATCTCTCTGTTCCAAGCAGGAGCCAGCCCTATAGAAATGCAGATGTAACCATCAGAAAGTTGGAGCCAGAAACTCAAGAAGACAAAGACCTAAAATCTGCATACCTCACCCAAACTCTAAAAGTCATTAGCCCAGCCCCAGGGAAGCAGGATATGACTTTTGGGACATAATAGGATTAAACCACAGATACCAAGGCTTAGAAAAGCACACTCAGACTCAGTTCAAAGCTCATGCCACAGGAACAGGAAATTATTCCAAACAAAAGGCTTTCAGAGGATATAAAAACCTACTCCACATGTGCTCAGCCCTTGATTTTTCTCCTCCTTCCTGCCAGAACCATCTTTCAGTTTGGCTCTTCAATAAACTGTAACCTTCTTCCCAAAGCAGTCGCCATGTTGTTTATTTATCCCCGGCTTGGATGAACCAGAATGAAGACTTTTCTTTCAACATTATGATAGTACTTCTATTTCTAGCAATTATCCTCCACCATATTCAAACATCTAGTTAATAATATAATATCCCATCTAAAGGTATATTGTAATTTTGAATGGTCACCAAATTGAGGACTACTTGTAGGCATTTCTTGAGAAACAAGAGTATGTGAGTAAATCCAGTTCAGGGAACTTATGCATCCTATCTTTAAATCATGTGTTTTCAAACTACGTTAAATTAAAATATGTTTCACGTGTTCTTAACCTGATTTACCTCTTTCAAGTCCTGCATAATTGCTGTCAACCGTTCATTCTCTGCTTGAATGTTGGTAACCACACTTCTACTTTGTTTCAGCTCGTTCTGCATTTCCAAAATCTTCCCAAGGTAATAAGCTTCCTTTGATGCCGACTCCTGAAGGAGTGTCTCTTCCCTGGTCTCACCATCTTCTGCTACTTTACGGTGGACTGAGAATGAGTGTCCAAAGGCCTGCAAGATTAAAATAAGAGCCCATTAAATAATTAAGTAAACATACAAGTGAACAGGTAGTCCTCAATTTATGAATTTCTGTTGTTAAGCAAGGCAGTTGTTAAATGAGTTGCACCTGATTTTATAGCCTTTTTTGCCACAATTGTTAAGTGAATCGCTGTGGTTAAATGAATCATGAGGTCATTAAGTGAATGCAGTTTCCTCCATTGGCTTTGCTTGTTGGAAGCCAATGGGAAGGTCGCAAATGGCGATCATGTGACCCTGGAACTCTGCAACTGTCGTAAATACATGCCAGTTGCCAAGCACTCAAATTTTGATCATGTGACCATGGGGATGCTGATAGTTATAAGTGCAAGGATTAGTCGTATGCCACTTTTTTCAGTGCTGTTGTAATTTGGAATGGTTGTAAGTCGGACTACCTTTGCTCCTTAGAATCATGTTGACTATTTTACAGAATGCAGAATAACAGAGTTGGAAGGGACCTTGTAGGTCATCTAGTCCAACCTCCTGCTCAAGCAGGAGACCTTATACCATTTCTGACAAGTGGCTGTCCAGTCTCTTCTTGAAAGCTTCCAGTGATGAAGCACTCACAACCTTTACTCCTTAGAGCAGTGGTTCTCAGCCTTTTTAATGCCGCGACCCCCAACCGGTCGTAAATCGAGGACTAAACCAGTCGTAAGTCGAGGACTAAACCGGTTGTAAGTCGAGGACTACCCAACCGGTCGTAAGTCGAGAACTTTCCCTGCCCGGGAGCGCCGCGCATGCGTGTTTCCGCCCCCTGCGCTGGCCGAGGCGTAGCTGGCAAGTGGCAGAGACGAAGCAGGCCGACCACCAGCTGGCCCAGCCCAAGGGAGGTAAGGCACCCGCCGGAAAAGGGGGAAAAAATGGCGGACAAAAAAAATGGCGGACAGCCTTGCTTGGCGACCCCCGTGAAATGGTCCATCGACCCCAAATGGGGTCGCGACCCATAGGTTGAGAACCGCTGCCTTAGAGTCATGTTGACTATTTTAAAAGAAAGTAGATAATGTATTTATAAACTGTGGAGCTATTAAGAACAGGTTTTTTAAAAAACCGGAATATTAACAATAGTTTCACCAACCAAATTCCTCCAAATTTGGGCAGGTCAGCAATAACTTCCATGGCTGGCCATATCACTTGGATGTAAGAACTAACAATAAAAACAATCCATAGGACCAAAAGTTCATCATTCTGTCTTTATTGGTCTCTTGCATTCAGCTTTGTTCATTGTCGTTAACAACAGCAAGTTAATCTTGTATATTGCTTCTGCTTCTGGGAATTTGCAACATTTTACTGCTTTCTTAGTCCACAAAGGAGAAATGAGTCTTAAACAAACTCATTGGCTTCATTAATGTGATCCACCTAGAATCTTGGAATTCAACCACCAAAATTTAAAGCACATACAGCTACTGGATTCAGATAAAATCCAATGTCAGCAAGCAGATTGAATATTAATTTTAAAACAACAGACACTATTTTAAATAACTAATCTATTAATTGTTTCTCTAGCAAGACCTCAAGCTACATGGCAACACAAAGTATGATGAGCAACATTTTGTTTTGTAAAGGCAGAACTGAAATTAATAATGATCATAAAATTTAAATATATCTTTATGGCATTATTTATTATTTAAACAAAGTTCTCTCATCAATTTTATAAAATACAATTGAAAACAAATGAAAATCAGCACCATAAAAGCTAAATAAATCCAATAAAAATAATACATTTTATTTTAATATACAGCACATAAAGTCATAGCAAAACTAACAATTGAACAAGAAGCATAAAAGATAATTAAGATGAAACCATTATAAAAGTATAAATATCTTGATTATTTGTATATGGATAAGAATTTCAGTATGATCAAAGAGAGTTCCACAATTTGCATGGTTTAGAATGGATGATATCATTTATTCAATACTGACTGAATAATTATAAAACACCTAAGTTTCTGATCAAAAGAAATCAGTGTTAAAAAAGATCCTATAGGCTTTACACTTTTTCAGAAGGATGAGATTCCTTTCTTTTCTTACTACTACTACTACTACTACTACTACTACTACTACTACTACTAATAATAATAATAATAATAATAATAATAATAATAATAGCTGGAAGGGACCTTGAAGGTCTTCTAGTCTAGTCTCTGTTCGTTCCAAAGCTGTGAATTTAATAGAAATCACCAGACAATCAGTGGAGAGTCAAAATGTATTTATTCACCCAAAGTTGCTTTGAGTTGGAGGCTGCTCCAGAGAATGGTTTTCTCCATTCTTTTATATGTCTTTTAATAATTCAGCCAATCAGAATGCATCACTTATCTCAATACTTTTTGTTCTACCAGCATGAATATCTGGTCTGCATATCCTGTTCCTCCTAGCATGACATTGTTCTTTTGTATCCTGTTTAAATGTTCTCTTATATCAAAATTACACCAAACTTCCTTATCTATGGTTAGCAGAATCTCTTTTCTATAGCAAAAAGGAAGAAATGTGGCTTCCTTTGCTACATGATATGCACATTTGCCTATTTGGGAGCCAGTTACTGACTGGAACCGACATTATTATATTAAGATACAGATCTTCCTTTCCTTGTTGTAAGCATAATCCAATAATAGAAGGCCAAAAACATCCTCAGCTAGTAGACAGACTAGAGTAAAAAAAATATCAGAACATCACAGTTGGAAGGGACCTTTCAGAGGTCCTGGAGCATGGGGAACTGTCAGAGGACTGGAAAAAAGCTGATGTTGTTTCAACCTTCAAAAATGAGAAAAGTGGATCCAAGAAACCACAGATCAATTAGCCTGGAAAGCCCTAGAAAAGGTAATCAAGCAGCAGATCTGTGAGCACCTAGCAATGAACTAGAAGCCTACATGGTGTTGTTAAAAGCAGGTCATGCCAAACAAATTTTGTTATCTTCTTTGATAAAGTGACTAAATTAGTGTATCAAGGAAATTCTGTGAATATAATATATTTACACTTCAGTAAGGCATTTGATAAAGTAAACTGTAACCTATTTCTTGGTAAGATAAAGTAACGTGGGTAAACAGTACCACCACCAGATGGATTTTCAGTTGGCTGACCAACTACACTCAGCATGTGATACTTAATGGAACTACGTGGAGAGAAGCATGCAGCTGGGTACCTCAAGGTTCTGTCTTGGGCCCAGTGCTCTTCAGTATCTTTATAAATGACTTAGATGAGAGGATAGAAGGGGCGCTCATCAAATTTGCAGATGGCACAAAGTTGGGGGGAATTGCTAACATTTTGGAAGACAGACTCAAGAGTCAGAAGGATCTTGACAGACTTGAGTATTGGGCCCTGTAAGACAGGGTCCCCAACCCCCGATGCGTGGACCAGTATGGGGCCACGGCATGTCAGCAACCAGTCCACACAAACAAGCAAAGCCCCATCCGTGGGATGCAGGCAGCACACAAAACCACGCACCCTCTGATCCATGGAAAAACTTCTCTCCACGGAACCGGTCCCTGGTGCCCAAAAGGTTGGGGACCTCTGCTGTAAGGGATAATATAATAGATCAGAAATTGTTTAATGAATACAGAACAGATATCCTTCCAAGGTGGGTGATGTGAAAGTACAAACTCATTTATTTTAGAGACATATAGGCCGGTGCAGCAAAACATTAGCAGTATCCTATGAAGAAATTTAATCCTAATGGCCTAGCTGAAACTTAAGCAGTATGCTTAATAGTTGCAAAATGGAGTTACTTGAGCCTTTAGAAGTAAGAATTTGACATATGTGAGATTGTTGCTTTGATATCAGACATGTAACTAATTCTTAGGAAGCAAGCAGAGGAAATACAAAAATAAAGATAGAGCTTATGCTAGCAAAACGTAGGTCATGATTAAGCACAATAGGTATAGCAGGTGCAAGGGTCTTCCTGGGAGGGGAAAAGGAAATGTATTCGGTTTAGGCACTTCAGTTTAGCTGACCAAGATGAGCAGGTGGGCTGTTGCGTGCAATAGGGGTGGGGGAATATGGTTTGGGAAAGGGTATAAATGTATGCTTTTAAAAATTGTGCGTGCGGCTTATTCTCCTGCATCATTAAGTCCACCAGCCTTTGCAAACGTTTTGTTCCAATAAAACTTTATTCCTGGAATCCCAAGTGAGTTTGTTTGTCTTTGGAATCCTGAGCCACCACCTAGACCAGGGGTAGGCAACCTTGGCTCTTTTATGACTCGTGGACTTCAACTCCCAGAATTCCTGAGCTGAAGGCATTTTGCTTATGAATAGGTGGCCCCAAATCTGCATTTCTAAAAGCTGGCCTGCTGGGAGGGGGAGGACACTGGGAGCTGGTTTCTACCTCCCCTAAGATTTTTTTCTCCACGATTCCCTTGGGAAAATATAATATTCTGTCTTTTTTAATGTCCCCCCAAATATTTCCTTCTCTGGGGGGGGAGGGTTTACTGACTTCCAAAAATGTAAATTCATACTGCTGTTGGCTCCAATTTCCTCTCCCCGACTTCACAAATCTACCCTTGAAGGTCCAATGGGATATCTAGATGAGGCATAAAAGTTGAAGGTTTTCCAAGAGCACAATACAGAGTATCAGGTCAGCAATCAGAGGTGGATACCCTGAGCTCTCTCCCACAAACCCCCTATATAGGAAAACCTTGCCTTTGTTCTCTGAAGGTAAGCGAAAAGAGCCCGCCTTTTAGGATCCTTAGAAAGTTGACCAGTTCTTCAAAAGGGGGCACTCTAGGGCCAGGTAACCTATAGGGCAGGAATGGGCAATTATGACTCCTTTACAACCTGTGGACTTCAACTCCCAAAATTCCCGGAAGTTGAAGACCATAAGGGACCACAGTTGGCCAACCTTCTCTAAAGTCAGCTACCCTGCTGAGCTGTAGTTTACTGCTAATTTCCTTCTCAATTAGCATTATAGATAGAAATGGCAATCTCATGGAAGAAAGGAAATTTTGTTTACTAATAGATGAAAATCTGGCTTCCTGAAACAAATGTTT